AACATCTCAAGGTCATATCTAATTTTTTGTACTGGGTGGATGAGATATTATTCTGGTCAATGTTTAAATCCCCAATCCAGATAACCTTTTTCCCATTCAATTTTTTCATGCAAAAATGAATGTATTCAATAAAGTTATCAACACTGCAATAATTTCCAGAGCGATAGAAGCAGCAAACATTGATCTTGCTATTCTTAAGCTTCACCCATAATGCTTCAATGTTATCAAGCTTACTATCCATAACTAATTCTGTGTAAGCTAGTTTTTTGTTTATCATTAAGCCACAACCACCCCTAGAACTGTTTGGCCTGTCGCATCGCATAAGGTTGAAGGAGGAAGGAATATTTATGGTGTCTGTGTCAATAGTATCATTAAGATTCATCTCATTTAGGGAAAGTATGTCTAATTTATGATCTCTAATAAGTTGGGAAAGTTCATTACTTTTAGCTAAATTGAGAAGCCCTCCTTGAATGTTACAATGACCAATGCAGAGGTTGTGAAACCTATCAGCTGCATTATTAAAATTTGTCATCTTGTGAATCTTATTAATTCACAATGGAATGAATAAAAGTTGTAAAGTTGTGTTTAAACTAAAAAACAGAATAAAAGCAGGTTGTATTTGTCTGGATGTCGTACTGTAAAAATAAAACTGATGGTAGGAGTGTTATGTCAGTATTCAGCAGTATTCTAATGGTGTGCATGATACTTCAAGTGCCTTGCTAATTTAACTATGCCATAATCATTGAGATGGACATTATCCTCTCCATAACTACTAAAAAATGACGATTTTCTAAAGCCTTTCTTATCACTAAACAAAAAACGATTTGTCTCGGTTGAGAGCAGTTTTACATAGGTGTATTTTCTTTGCAGATTTAATATACACTCATTGATATCAGTAATAACCTTGTTTCTGGAGAAACTCTCCCGAGGTAATAAGTTAACAATTTTAATATCAGCTCCAGGTGCCCACTTGTGAAGGAAAAGTACAAGTTTTTCAATACAATTGTTTGTAAAGTCAAGAGCTCTAGCATCACCAGAAAAACTATCAGGGCACAGAAGTTTAGTCCTCATGTTGCGAGGGCTGTTCAGGATAGAGTCCACGTCATTTGTACCACACATAAGTACAATGCTTTTCACATTATTGGTATTAAGAGTGTCTTTTCTTACATCTGATTGAAACCGTTCATTGATTGCATTGGCTGTGGCACCAGGGTAGCTGAATACATGTGCCTCATGATGTTTGGACGATAGCTTTTCTCCCTCTAATTTGGAGAACATACTAGAGCTAATGTAGACACACAAAGATTTACCAGAATGTTCTATTGATCTAGTCTTAGGGGCTTGACTGGGAACATCAGACAGAGTAGATAAGGTTGCGCTGCCATCAATTATATACTATTTATTGTTAATAAAATGCTCATTGTAGCCAGTTACTTTTAAAATTTTCATCATCATGCCACAGAATTGAAAAATATACAAGTCCAAATATGAAAAATTCGACGTGTTATGCACAACCCGAAACTTATATTAATTTTGATAGGACAGTTAAATTTCATTAATTTGTATAGTATCCATGCAATGCACTTTAGTAAAGGGTACCCTTACAAGATTCAAAATCTATTAGTTGGGTATGAAGAAGGATGAGCACTTGGAGAGAGTGTTGAATGTGGAGAAGGCCACCTTCAACCCGGCTATATTACTCACATCTGGAGGCATGTTCAAAGAACAGAATTTTTCGTTATGAGCATTGCAGTGTCCACGCCCTGTACTGCGTTAACGACCGAAATTTTCCCAATATGCAATAATTATTTTGCTTCTAAAATTCTCTGATAATTAATGATATATCGTGACATGTAATTGTAAGATAACAAACCTCGCGCGCGCGGCGCTTACATCTGCACCTGAGAATCTCTCAGCAATGTGTGGCTGTCTGCGCGGCGGGCTGTGTATTGTGTATATAGTTTTACTAAAAATTTTATTTTTAAAGAATCCAAGAGGACTTCATAGCCAGGAAAAAAAATATTGTGATGTGGTAAGGTATTTGATTACCTGGGGACCCCAGGCTATTATGTTCATAAACCGAATAAAGATTTGGCGGAATGACAGGCTGAGCGCGGCCCAGTAAGGTATTTGAGAACAAAATGAAATAAGCGATGTTGTGAACAACGCTCATTTGCTTTACGGGGTTGATTTGCACGATGTCAATCCTTCCCAGCTCGGCGAAGCTTTGACGGATGTTACTCGTCTAAATTTCTTCGAAGTAGCGCGCGCCGCTTTCTTCTCGAAATGTGGCCCGACGGCAAGTGCTACGAAGTAGCGCGCGCCGGGCCAGATCATTAACAATGGTCAAGGCGAAGCTGTGGTTGCGAGAAGATGCAGGGCGCGGCCCAGTAATGCATCGCGCTACAATCTAGGGGCTACACAGAGGGGATGATGATTAATCACTCTACACTCGACTGTCACGTGACTTTTTAAACACGTTCTCTTGGTGGCCCTGAATGACTATTCCATATTCGAAATCATAGCCCTCTAATCTGATATGATGCCAACCTTAACCCTAACCCAATCCCTAACAAAAGCATATGCTGAAACCCTAACCCTAACGAGAAATTCGACCAACTTCCTTATACGGTCATATCACGTGATCAAGACAGTTTTTCGCAAATATCTCGGCAGGGGAGCATTTTAACCCTATGTCATGGGGGTGATTCGGAATCAGCGGCCGAAAATACATCGATTCAAGCTGGTTTCAACTGTCGGGGGCCCTATTAGAATAATCTCGAAAATCGACTGTAGAGTGATTTAGCACGCTCGACACATAGGCAACAAAATAGACAACAAATACAAAGTTTTTGTAGACTGTGAAGAGTCTTTTAACAAAACAAATTTTAGAGAAACAAATTTTAAATTGTATATTTTTGTGTTTACAGCTTTCACACAACATAGCCATGAGTCTTTGCGTACTGCGTGACGCGCTTGTACATTGTAGCGCGATGCGTTACTGTGCCGCGCCGCGTACTCAATGAGGCTTCTCGCAACGGCGAAATGTTGCTCTATCCAGAGCCCTTTCGCTTGCAGTAGCGCGCGCCCGCCTCACGGCGGTAAAAGGGCTCTAGCCATGAACCCACCCAACGATTTTGGCACCACTCTACAGTGGTGCCAAAATTATCCGCGCTTTTGTCCTCATATGCGACGTGTGTAGCCTTTCAGACATTGATTGCGTAAACGAGGTGTCGTACGTCACCTCAAGATCGGGTGACAGGGGGCTGACCATGCCCGAACCTTATTGATCATTGATTGGGTCTGAGGTCACGTGATTATGAGCATATGAGGTCACGTTACTATGACGTCGCCAGACCTTGTCCTCCGTTTCCCGCTTATTGGACCCGGTGAGCTTGCATGCTTGTGAATGTAGGTGTAAGTACAGCTGTACTGTAGTTTATACCTAATTAACCCTTATTAGTAGAGGCTCTTACGGGCAAATATCACGCTTCTTTGCTCGAGCCCTGGGACTTCTTTTAGGGTTCTTATATGATAGAATGGAGTGTACTGAACACTCTGACGGTATCGGGAACCTTCTAGAGCCTTCAGAAGCTGTGTTGTGAGCACTTTACTGCCAAAACTTCGGACATCTACAGACACCGGAATATCGACTAAAAATTTTTTCTGAGTTGTTCCCCTAATTTCTCTTAGGTTGCTTAAGCCCTAGAAAGTGTCAGATCGTCTAAATATTGCTCCATTCCGGTGTTAGAGACCTCGAAAATCTCGACCTCGTAGAACGTGTTGCGCGTCGTATGTAGTGTTTACAATGGAAAAAGTGCACTTAAATCTGATTCGGTTGCGGCGCGTGACGTATCTAGCACGATATTTGCTCGAAAGCGCGTCACTGCGCCAGAAACCTCGTGGTACCGTAACAGTGTAGAAATAGATGATCACAAGAGACACAATAAACGTATCATCACTATGCAAAGTTAATGTTAAAATGATACAATAGCCCTGCTTTAACAGATTAATCCACATAAACACTATATTTCTACAGTCCGATCAGTAAATCGAACATGTTTTTGAAGATAAATCTTCTGATAGAATTCGTTTCTACATTGAAAGATTTCTTTTCTAATCTCCTTTAAGAGTGCTGTCTTTGTTAAAGTGTTATCATCTCTATCCGCATCTATTGTTGCGGCAAGATTAGATACGATCCTGCTGTCGAAACAAACTCGTCTTACCGACATTGTCTTTCTGAAAACTGATGTGATCAGATTAAACATTGCTGGAGTTTGCAGCGTTCTCAGATAAATTAGACGTCACATAGTCATTGTACTTAAGCTTCAGGTCAGACACGAGGTACAGTTCTGGTAAAACATTCTCCTGCTCCAGTTAAAAGGTCCGTATCAATACCTGCACTCATTAATGCAGCATTGGTGTTGTCGTGCGTGGACACGTGTCTTTCCATTTTAAAACCTGCCTTAGAGACAGGTTTTAAACTTACAGCTTCAGATAATTTACCCTTCAATTGTTTCACCCTCGAGTTGCTGTACCTCAAACGACATGTTTTGTGATATCTACTTAGCTTGCTATAGAGATCTTTTCCGAGACTCTCAGGGTTAAGAACAGGGCACTTGTTCATGTGCGAATCAGGATTAACATCGATGTTGCACAGATCCTGACGATTTCTGTAGATGTCCACAGATAGTATGTTGCGAAATCGACGAAGAAACTATTATCTTTTCCTTGAATCAGACTATCCTTTTTCGTTTCTAACGTCTAGGGAAATTCGTATTGTTAAAGAAGAATAACCTCTCATACTCTTAAAATTAAATCGAGATAATATGTATAATGATTATATTTGCGAGCAAAAGTTTCACACAAACCTGTTCAACCTGGCATATGAAACACAAGTCTCAGTCCATTTCAAACAAATCAACATCTGGTCCACTTGATTTGGAACTAAATGAAGAAAGTCTCTTCATTTTCTTAGTTCTATTCGAGGATGGTGACAAAGGCGGGACTTTTTCCACTTGGATGGCAATAGCTTCTTCAATCTTCATCACAAGAGGATTCGTCAATTTCAGAAACAGCACTGTACACCTGCAAATACTTTATTACTTCCCACATTTATATCAACAGTATCATATCACATAAGTTTGAGATCGTACAAGTGTTATATCATTTTAAAAGTTTGCAAATCCGATAGAAATGGATTAAAAATTACTACTCGCTGTCTATTTACCTTTGAATAATAATGTTTTTCAGGAGGTGACCGGGACATGATTTCAGGCCTGACCGGGACCGGGATACAAAATGTGACTTGACCGGGACCGGGACCGGGACCGGGACCGGGACCGGGACCGGGATAGCTCAAAATTGAGATTATCAATTTACCGGGACCGGGATAGCTCAAAATTGCCAATCCCGGTACCGGGATTCCCGGTACCGGGAATTCCGGTCGATTACTGGTTAATTCATGATCATAATTTATTACTCAAACTTGTTAAGCAATTTTAAACATTGTTGTATTTGGCTCAGAGGATATTTAAAGATGAAATTCACAATGAATGAAAGGAAAAACTTAAAATCACAGTGAATGAAATTATGTAAAAGATCCCGGCAAATTTGAGTGATTGACCGGGACCAGGACCGGGACCGGGACCAAGAATCCCGAATTAACCGGGACCGGGATCATAAATAAATAAATCAGCATTTGACCGGGACCGGGACCGGGATAGCTCAAATTGCCAATCCCGGTACCGGGAATCCCGGTCACCTCCTGATGTTTTTAAATGTTAGTAAAACAGGAGGAAACCACTCACCCTGTTATAGTTGTCTTTTACATAGTTAAGACACTGAATACACAAATAAAGAGGTTTGCTTTGGTGAGCACAACCCAGGATTGATCTTCTGCAGCAGGGCGAGGAATTCTCTAGACTGTTTTGTAATTCGTTCACTTTCAGAGCGGAAGAAAACTGTGTCATTAAAATCCTTTATTTCTATTCGGGTACAGATACAGCACTCTGAAAATTGATGAATGGTCACATTTTTGTATACCCTACGGCAAAGTCTTATGTATGTGGTAAAAGAATGATATTCTTTAAATATATAATAACATCTATAAACAAAAGAGCACCTAAAGAGGCTCAGCAAAGTGCTGGCCTATTTACGCTTACGAAGACTCATTCGTTCAATATGTCTCAAAGTAAATAAACTCCTCCATCCTACTCTATCTCTTGCTAAGTTCACTAAGTTGGTAAAATCATCTTCATTTTTCAAATAAGTTTGTCTCTTAAATAGGTCCTTTTTCACAATAATATCATACAAATTAGTCCTGTGTCTACCCACTCGTCCCTTTAGTGTTTGACATCCTAGTGAAGCAAATAACAGAGACTGGTAGGCAGGCGTGTCGTTGTCAATGCGTAGAACATGACCTAGCATTGTCCACCGTGCCTTTTCCACTCTCTCGGAAAGGGGCCTGGTCTGGGTACGAGCGTAGAGGGCCTTGTTAGATATTGAGCTAGGCCAATAGATGTGTAGGATGCGCTTGAGGTGCTTCCTCTGAACAACATCAACAGACTCTAGCACATGCTGAGGTACGACCCAGCAGCAGCAGTTGTACAGGAGCACTGATACTACTAGTGAGTCGTAGATTTGATCTTTCTCTTCTCAGTTATCTGACTCCTCTCTGATCCCTGGCACCACAGCTTGTCAAATGACCAGAAGGCGGTGTTAGCTTTATTCATTCTATTAGTAACATCCTGCTCTGATCCAAGCTTAGTACCAAGAAGCGTCTCGTTTCTCCACTCCTCTTTTCCTCTTAGTTCATTATCCCACTCGGCACATGCACCAACTTCTTCTAAATACACTCTGGTAAACTTTGTCTTTGTGTCATTGACAAAGAGACTCCATTCACTGAGAATATTCTTGGAGATCTGAAAGATATCCTGTAACTCCTCCATATCTTCACCAATCCCCTCTACATCGTCTGAATAGCCGGACTCAAGAGGCATGTGGTTATCGGCTATCGGAGGGTTGGGGGTTGAGGGGAGGACCGCTCTTATGTGCACTACAGCTCCAGCTAGATTGAGGGTAAACAATTTACCAGCTGCGCTGTCTCCTTGGGAGGCTCCTATGTTGAAAGAGAACATCTCTGAGTCAGTAGAACACACTCTGACTACTAGAGTGGTGTTAGCCATGAGGTATTGTACAAGCCTCAGGTCGTCTCTGGAGCATCCTGCAGCTTCTAGTAGTCTGATTGTTGTACCTCTGCGGATGGTATTGAAGGCAGCTGACATGTCAATACTCACTTTGTTCCATTCAAACTCCTTCTTCATTACTACAGATATGAGCATGCTCTGTGCCCAAACTAGGTCGGCACAGCTCCTGCCAGCTTTGTAGGCAGCTTGGAACGGTCCGGTGAAGTTTTTTATTAAATCCTAAACTTAACTTCTACCAATTCAAAATTGTTTACGTCGGTCTCCCCTCCTTGAGCCACTTTTCACATAGCTATTGAGTATAAATCACTCTAGCACAAGCGATTTCAAACCCCCTCCCCTAGGCTGGATTAGGTTATTATATGTGAACTGTGCTCTAGTGCATGACTGACTTTACATAATGCAGAGCATGCAGAGTTTTGATGTTTCATAAACTTATGAATAAAGTTTTAAAATCGTGACATAAAAAGCAGTGGTCGCCCGGTGCCCCCTGGCCAAAATCACAACCCCCAGCCAAAGATTGGCAATTCTCCGGGGGTAAACCCTGGCCCCGGCCAATTCTCAGTGGTCAGCCCCGGCCCCGGCTATATTGGGGCTCCCCGGCCCCGGTCAGAATCCTGCCCCGGTCGACCACTGATAAAAAGTTAACTCACTGGATTTGTCCAAAAGCGAGAGAAAGTACTGAGAAAGCACTTATACGTCACCACCAGAGGGCCTAGAGAGGTTATCTTTGTCTGTTTAATTGAATATTGAGTATATAATATGAGATTTAAGATGAACATGATAGATATAACGTCCAAATTCTAAAGTTCCACCAAAATTGAGTCACATTAAACTTGGTTACGTAACTTGGTTACGTAACACAACAATTTTAGTTCTTCATTATGGTAGGTGATTTGACATAATGAAGTGTAGACTAAATTATTATTTATAATAATTACCTGTCGGAGGGATTTAAGTGTTCCTTTGAACAGTCCTTTTCTGGAAGGTTGAGAGCTTTCCATACATCCAGAGAGCCAAATTGGATTTGTCCTTCTTTCGGGCATATGCAATCTTTGATATGATGCCTTGTACATTTTGAAATCCTGCAGTTATCATTATTCAATACTTATAGAGCCTTAGATAAGGGGTTAGGGGTCGTTCACATAATATTGTGTAATTGCAATATAGTAAGGTTACTGTACATTTCCAACCCTTTGTCATGTATATCACAACAGATGATGTTAAAAGCATAATAATATTATGATACAGTTTTACAGTTTTTTTTACGTGTTGATAATCTAGCTCATATCTCTATTTTATCGCTACATTACAACTGCCATTTTGCTGGTACTGTGTTTTTACTTTATACAAGTACAAGTAATCGATGGAGGAAATGGATACTCTTCAAAGATTGTCAGTTTATTCTACCTAGCTACATTACTGAAGAGTATGAGGTCTATAACGGTTGGATCACTGAACTCGCGGAAGCTACGAACTGTGACAATAAATCTGAGTTTTCAGTTGAAACGTTCAAAAAGCCAGTGAAGCCAGTTTCAGTAAAACATTTATAATTTGTATTCTGCGTATCAGACTACCGATAATCATGTAAGTACGTTTCTGGATAACAAGAAAGATATGGAGGAGTTGAAGAGCGATCTTACTCGATCGTAAAGTACTGTTATCAAGCTGCAGGCTGAACTTCTGGAAACTAAATCGAAGCAGTTGGAATCCATGCACTCCACCGTCAAGACCGCCGTTCAAGACACTGTCCAAGCTGAGATGAAGTCATACAGTCAAGCTGTGACTAAAAATGCACCTGTGCTTGCAGAAGAGAATTTAAAAAAGGTTGTACAGAATGGTGTATCGGAAGAGGATCGCAGTAGGAATGTGCTCATCTTTGGTTTGAAGGAGACTGATGAAGAGGAACTGTGCAATAAAGTTACCGTGATTTTTCAGCAGATTGAAGAAAAACCACGTTTTGAAGCTATCTGGGTTGGGAGAAAATCAGCCAACAAGACTAGACCAGTCAAAGTTTCGCTAGATAATTCTAACTTACCGTTCATCAGATATTAGTAAATGCCAAAAAGCTGAGACTGTGTGAAGATCATAAGACTGTTTTCATCTCTCCAGATCGATCACCTGAAGATCGAGTTATCCATCAGCGGTTGGTCTTGGAAATGAAACAGATAGCCAAAGCAGGCATGGATCCACCGTGTAGGTTCGGGTGGGTGCGCACCCACCCAAAGGGTGTTGCACCCACCCAAACGATTTGAAAATGTTCACACAAAAATTGTCAAATTTTGTATATACTAAGGGTCAATTGACTTCTGTAATCAATTGAGACTGTTTTGGAGATATTAAAATATGTTTAGGAGAGTAAAATTCCAAAATTTTCCAGGGGGCTTCACCCCCCCCCCCCCCCACCATGCGCCAAGCTGCACCCACCCAAAGATTTTGAGCTGGAGCCATGCCTGAGCCAAAGAAGACACAAAAAAACATTATTATATCAGAAGTGGTAATATTTCTAGTGAGGACAAGATGTTAGAGAGTGATACATAATAATGAGTGATATACGTCCATAAGTTTTTAATTTTGATTGTTGATATAAGCGTGATAAAAATAATTTATTTCATTTGTATTGGACGGGACATACACAAAGATGCTACGTATGGTGCTGGGTATCTCATGGAAGGACAAGGTCAGCAATATAACTTTGTATGGTAGTCTACCAAGGCTGTCAAACAAGTTACGAAGCAGGAGACTAAAAATGGCAGGACACTGCATCAGACATCCTGAGCTACTTGCCAGTGATTTAGTCTTATGGAAACCTATGCATTGTAGAGCACAGCAAGGCGACCAAGACAAAGCTACTTGTCTATGTTACTGAAGGAAATTGGGACAAACTCAAAAGAGGAACTGTGAACTCTGATGCGGGACAGGGATATATGGAGGGGGTTATCTGGCGTAGATCGGACTTAGTTCCGACAAAGTAGTAGTATTTCATTTCATTTCATTAATAACCTGCATAGTTGAAAAGTTGATTGATGTAGTTTCGATAAACAGGCGTCGTTCAACTCCACTCATTTCGTTTCAAGCTGGAATGTAGTATTGTTTAGTGTAGGTTTGTTCATGTACCTCTCATCATCAAAAGGTTTCAACTTATACAGCATCGATAACATCATCTAACAAAGCTTTTTGAACAGCTTAAGATTCAGTTAAAATTACATTATTCAGATACATTTTGTGAAATGAAACATTGTCAGCCTGTATTTAATTAATTATAATAATTATGGTAATTTAGCTAAAAATCAAACCATTTGAGTTTTCATTGTTATCAAAATAATGTCGATCTAAATTCGTCTTAATCTGCATGGCTGTGAGCGGATCGAAGTCTTTTAACAAACCACAAAAGCTTCTTTCATCAAGAAGATTCTTGAAGTGATTCGCATGTACACAGAGTCTTAGCTGTCTTAGCTAGTTCTGGGTCCATAAACATGTCACCTTCTTTCTAATGGTGATTGTCAAGTTTGTTCAGCAACATAATTCAGAATTGCAGAAATGATTTGAATCTACTAGAGATGAAATGGCTTAAATAACAAGCAATAGATGTTTTTGATTGAAATACATTTTCGTGCACATACAGAATGAATGGTTAATAATTTAATATATATGTAGACCAAGGTCTGTGCACGGGATGCTTCCTGGAAGAATCCAGTTCTTTTAGCGGGGCACCCTACCTAAAGATGTAACTAAACAATACATATTGTAGTTTGACTACTTCTTTGAAACAATCAAAGAATGGGGGAGCTAAGGGAATGATTGCTCAAAACGAATGATATCTTCATGAATTCAATGCAGCATCTATACATTTATTCGAAATTAGTGATGGATGAGGGGGTTTAAGTCAGGCATTCCTGACATTTACTCTACTACTATTTATAAATTCAAAATCATGTTAAGAAGATAGCAGCAACTAATCTATATTATTTACAGTGCTCTATTTTATGTGTACTGAAGAGTGCCTTTACAATATTCCCCTTTGTGGTGTAGATTTCCTCCATATCCAACAGGCAACACTGAATGAGTGATGGATGAGGGGGTTTAAGTCAGGTGTTCCTGACATGTATTCAAAATTGCATTGAGAAGATAGCAGTAACTAATCTATATTATTTACAGTGCTCTATTTATGTACTGAAGGGTACCTTCACAATATTTCAGTTTGTGGTAGGGTTCCTCCACATCCAACAGGTAACACGGAATGAGTGATGGATGAGGGGGTTTAAGTCAGGCATTCCTGTCAAAAGATCTATAATTAATCTTGTAAGGGTACCATACAGTAGATATTTATTGTTAATTGTGAACCAAAATTTAATTCATACCCACAATCGATAAATTATAAATCCAAATAGTCATATAAGCAATGCAATACTAAATTGGTGAAATTGTATTAACAAAAGGTAATCAGCCAAGTAAAGGTATCTCAACAATATAACATTGAAGTATTAGAAATGGCACTCTACTATTATAAAACACTTTACTGTGCTGTTTTAAACAATATTATATGAAATTAAGCCAGAGAAGGCATGAACTTCAGAAAAGTACAAAACACTACCGGTACAAAAACTTAAATGAGTTTCAGGGAAGGGTTACTAAAATTTTACGGTAGCGCTCGATTTTATTCAAAAAATTTCAAAGTGCTCAGCACCACGAAAAATATAATTTTTTCTTCCGCTTTCAAAACTTGTTTTAACGCTGAAAAACTATCAAATAGGTATTATTGAACAGTATTAAAACACTTTGTGGGCAAAAATATTTCATTGTGGGTGTGTAAAGAGCCGAAAAAATTTAGCGCGCAAAAAAACATTTTTTTTGGGAGGTTTTTTAAAATTTTGACCAGGTAAACTCTTGTGTATGCCTATTATATTGGTATTAACTAGTGCGGCAAATAAAAATGTACAAATACCCAAAATATCTAAGCTTTTCGATTGAATTAACCTGTCGAAATTTCTAAAAAACCTCAAAAAATGGCCATTTTTGGGGCCAAAAATAGGTTTTTTCAAAATAAAACCGGGTAACCCCCATTTTAAACACTTCTAACCACTTTTAATCGATTCTACGGTCAAAAATACGTCTTTTAAGATGGGTCTGGTGATTTTAGTGTATCTAGCAGACAAAGCCCGTAAGAGCCTCTACTATATACACTGTCACTATGCACTATAGAAACAGCTGAAAAGTGGTTACTGCATACTGGAGAGAGAAGTGCCAAGACTACCTGCGCTACATAGACGCTGTTGTCAGCACTGCGCACGAAGCGAACGAACCTTCCCATCGGGGTTCGTGGATAGGTGCTTTTCTTGACTTGTGAAACAAGCGCGCCCGAAGTGGCGCGAAAGCACATGGTTAGGTGAAGGCGAAATGCGCTACTGTGCCGCGCCGAGCTGCGATGAATTGACATCGTCAATTAAGAGTATCACCCGGCGATGCTTTGTTATACTTATGACTTATGTAGCGCGATGCACTACTGGGCCGTGCCGCGCAGACAATAATGTTTCACGCAACCACTTCGATAGATCGGCGAAATGCACCACTGGAGCTTCACCTAGCCATGAGTCTACGCGTACTGCGTGACGCGCTTGTTTCACAAGTAGAATAGCTACTGCAAGCGGGAGGGATCTGGATAGAGCAATTGCTGAGCTGTAAAGGATTGACATCGTGAATCAAAAGTGGTACTGCAACTGGTAGCTCATCAGCCGGAGAGTTTGACTCGTATGTGTGCAATGATACAGAAACTTATAAACTGTTCTTGCACTCGAAGTTCATTCCACGAGAAAGCAGAATTTGAAGTGACCAATCATTTTCAATGGACAATTGGACAAATGTGTTAATATCATTAGCTATAATTATGTGTTTTGTAGCGTAAAGCAGTGAAGCTTCTTATTATATCAAAAAATATGTGTGCCCTATATTCTTTTAAAGAGTTATTTGATTCACGATGTCAATCCTTCGCAGCTCGGTGAGGCACAGTGGTGCATCTCGCCGATCTACCGAAGAAGAATTATTTGCGAGAAGAATTATTTGATGCGCGGCGCGACCTTACTGGGCCGCGCTCAGCCTGTCATTCCGCCAAATCTTTATTCATTATGTTAATGAACATAATAGCCTGGGGCCCTCAGGTAAGGCGCGACCCAGTAGTGCATCGCGCTACAAAGAGTTATAAGCATTTATTTCAATGTTACGTATAGAACAATAATGAATAACTATCTACTTTATTTGCCGAATTTTGATCGGCTAAGATATTGGATATGCAATGGGTGAAAATAGCTTACTTTCACAAGGTGAACAAAATGCGCCAGAATTTACGACCGATAATTTGTGTTCCCTTCTTTCCTTGTATTGATGTGTAATAGATTTTCCTTAATTGTGAATTTGGTTTTTGCCTTTTCTATAATTGTAACCACGGGATTTCGATTTAAAGTGTGCAATTCGTTGAACTCCAACACTCACATAAATAAAATGCCATGAGAACTATAATTTGTTTTCTGATCAAGTTTGCATCTCAATATGCAAACAATTATTTCTCTACCATATTCAATTCTCGATTGATTATTCATATGATGTTCTATGTGATTAGTTCACTTGTTACATGTGATAAACAGGTTTGTAGTCGTAATTGTTTCACTTCACTGACTATATATTCAATTCTAAAGCTGGCTAAGTTGCATTCGTCGAGGCAAATTCGTTATTTCTCAACCTGCGCTGCTTCATCTATCATGAAGCTTCAGTTAGCTCTTTTAGCAATTTGCGTGGCCCAATCTTTTGGAATAGAGTACAAACTGGAGATAAGAACCGGATGGAGACAGAATGCAGAAACTGACGGCAACATATTTGCTAAGCTTGTTGGTAAAAACGGAAAAGTCGTCAACTTCGGAAGCCTAGATGACCCACACAGAAATGATTTCCAGAGAGGCCACACCGATACCTTCACCGCACATTCGATGGAAAATATTGGCAAAATACAATGTATAGTGCTCTCAACAAACACTCCCGACAAATGGATGATGGACAAAGCAGTGGCATCGAGCAGCGCCTCCCAGGATAAAGTCTACTTCTACAACCAGGGCATGTTCCTGTCAAGCACGCCCAGCGAGGGAGTATCTGAACTGAAGCTGTGTGAGCAAGGAACTCAGACTTACTACATCACTACCACAACCTCCACCGACCTCCACGGTGGTTCTGACAACATCTATCCAAGACTGAGAATAATCGGGAGAAAAGGAAAGAAGAGCCGCTCAGCGACGACCGGATACCTGTTCGATCCCGCGAGGAACAACTTCGAGAAAGGCAGACAAGACATGTTTGTGTTCCAAGGGCTGACTGACGTGGGTAAGATAAAGTGTATCGAGGTGATGGTTGATGGTGATGACAAGTGGTTGTTCGAGATGATCGAGGTACACAGCCAGGATCTAAGACACCCCAAGTATTTCCGGAACGAGAATGAAGCGTGGCTGTCCACTGATCAACGGGAGGGAAAATCCACTCTCAAACTCTGCTCATGATTTTATTGTCGTCATGGATTTTGGACTTACATTCTATCCAAATATGAATTGAAATTTATTGCATCGAAAATAAATTTGTTTTATTTCTTATCTGTTTTATCCATAGGGCAAAATTACTGGACGCAATAATATATCTAAAATTGAGATGATCATGGGATGAAAACATGACAATATATTGCGCAATATCAAACACGTAGAATTACGTAATACGTATCCTCCAGCCACTTATCCAGCCTTAAAACCGGAACTTATCAGCCTCTAAACGTTCACCAGGTGTGCCCTCTAATCACAACCCTGGCGATTAGCAACATTTGGCACTTTGTAAATACTCAGGCACCGTTACCACTTTACAATAAGTAGCTACCCTTTAACTACTGCAACGACTAATGATGATACCAATTATACGCGTGTTATTGTGAGGAGGAGGTATCTGGTGTAAATGTGTCCCTGGATGTCGTAGTTAGGAGTCGGTTGACTGGAATTGTGGTCTTTTCTATGTTCAATATTGTGCTCTGTTACTTGGCAGCTAGCAGCTCTTTCTGTAAATCAACGATGGTTCCCTGACTGTCAATCACATCGGACTGGTGTTTCTGATTAGCTTTCTCCAACTGATCAATGTACTTTGATTATCCATAAACAATTCTCAACGCAGCCTCAAAACTTTTAGACATGACATGGCTGGAGATTTCCTTACGACCAGTAAAACACACTGATTGTGAAGCATTAACATGTCCTGCTTTAACAAGCCCGAGAGTTTTCCTAATTCACTCAACTCCATCATCTATCACTTCATCGAGCTTGTAATTCTTGTATTTCTCCGATTTGTACATCATAAAAACACGCCACTG